ATATATATATATATATATAGGCCAATTAATTATGATTTAATAAATAAATGGTCAGGATTTTAGACTTGTATTATACAAATTCAACAAGGAGACAAATTAGACCAACAACAATTTATTAATAACACCTTCATTTGTGCATTGTTTAAAGTTCAATGGTTAAACTGTGGTCAATAACAAGAATTTAATCTAAAACAATATCACAATAATTTCATCCTACAATACAAGTTCAATTTTATGAGTCCAAATTCATCAAGTCATCCAAAGTACAACATATAGTAGAAAAACAACTAATAAAACATATCATATCATCAAACAACACAATAAACAAGTGTTTCATCATATTCAAGATATGCAAAAAATTCCTTTAGGATTGAGGGTAAATCCATTACCCATGTTTTGATGATCACATCCATGAACAAAATAACCCTCAACCCCCTCACCCAAAAAACACTATTTTGAAGGTAAGAGTGCAAAGTTTTGATCCTCTCTTTTAGATCTTTACTCCTCAATTAGTGTTTCTAAGAGTTCCAAGAGGCAAACAAAAATAAAGTGTAATAAATTTGACTCAATAGTGTCTTTTAAGTGGTATGAAAAATAAGTTATTACATGTATGCTTTATTTTTTTTTATAAATTAGAATAATTATTTCGAATGAAATTTTCTTTGTAAATTACGTTTCGAGGAGTGTTTTAAAAAAAAATCTCAACCTTTGATTTCTTTCAATTTACTATTTTTATTTATTTAAATTAAATTTTAATATTTTTAAATTATCAATAGTTTAAAAATCATATTATAAAATAAATTATTATCATAAATATTTATTTATTAGACATTTTAATTATAACTAGTAGTCACTAGATTTATTTTATATAACTGAAATTTATGATAAATAAATATTTTCAAAATATAAAATATAACCCTTAGATTAATCAAGTAAGAGAAAATTTGATATTTAATCCCGTGAGAGGAAATTAATCTAAGGGTTATATTTTAACCATCTCATCTCTCATAATAAATTCCCTCCCACTTGATATGCTCCGTATATATATATATATATATCCTGTTTAATGTTTGGTTGAGTATAAAAAACTAAACAAAACAGAATAAAACATTTTTCAAATTTGCTATTTTATGACTATTATTATATAATATTCTTATAAATATTAATATTTATATTTTATAATTATTTTCTAAATACGTAAATGTGAAATATTTGATAAAATATAATTAAATTAAATATATTGTTATTACTATATAAAAGAAGACCAAAATACAAAAATGTTTCATTCAATGACTATACCAAAAAATCAAAATGAAATTAGACAACAAATTCAGTAAGCTCCCAAACCAAATTACTAAAAAAATACTAAATTATTTGTTGATATATATATATATATATGATAATATTGATTTGATTTGAATGGGTCTAACATTTTCTCTATTAGTTTAAGGTTCAAATGATAGTAATTTAAATGATATTTTATGAATCCTAAACTCTATTAGTAAATAATAGTAATTCAAATGATTAGTAATTTATATGATGTAAATAGTAAAATTCAAAAATTCTAATGATGCAAATAACACATCAAAAGAGAAAAAAAAAAAAACATGTTTTGTTCTTATATGCAATTGAAGCAATGAATAGTGTAAGGAGAGGAAAAAAGAACATCGACCAATGAGTAAAAAAAGATGCTGAGTAGAAAAAGATGATAATAAGAATTTTCTTTTTTAACTAAGTGTACGATGAAAAAATAATAAAAATAAGAAATGATAATTTTGTAATTAAAAATATTTAAGAAAATATCTTATCTTATTCTAATGAATTTCACCTTTTATTAAAAAAAATAAAAATATTTTACTATTTTAATTATGTATCCCATTCTATTATCTCTTGTAATTTTATGAAATAAGAAACATAAATCATATATCCTGTCTCATCCACACCTAAGAGTTTGTTAAAGGCTTTAAAATTAGCAATGAATAGAGGGTATCCGTTAGGACAGTTTGCCGTTGGCGATTTGAAAATGGGGTGATTAATTAATTTTGATAGTTTGATAATCTGATGGATGAATGGTGGCAGTGAAAGAGAAAAGATATTTATGAGTAGTACATTGGTGGCGGAGAGTGTGTGTGTGAGGTAGTACACAACACATACGTGGAACTCCCAGAGATTCTGGTTCGACAGGTGTCAGTTTGACAGCTGTATGGTAGTAAGTCCAAAGTCCAAAGTCCTAACCGCTCCACAACTCATCCTTATCGCTTTCCTCTCTCTATATATATAAACCCCTTCCAAACTATGCAATTCCATGGATCGGATAAAAGGCCCATGGAGTCCCCAAGAGGACGAAGCTTTGAGGAGGCTGGTCCACACTTACGGGCCCAGAAGCTGGTCCCTTATAAGCAAAGCAATCCCGGGCCGCTCTGGGAAGTCCTGCCGGTTGCGGTGGTGCAACCAGCTCTCTCCGGAGGTGGAGCGCCGTCCTTTCACAGCGGAGGAAGACGAAATGATCGTGAAGGCGCAGGCCAGGTTCGGGAACAGGTGGGCCACCATCGCTCGCTTCCTCAATGGCCGCACTGACAACGCTATAAAAAACCATTGGAATTCCACTCTTAAAAGGAAATGCTCCCAATCCCAAGCTTTCTCCAACTCCCACCCACACCCTCTCAAAAGACACGCCACCACCGCTTCGGCTTCCGCTTCCGCTTCCGCTACTCCGTCTGGATCCGATTTCAGCGCCCCGGCCCAACTAGCGGAAACTGCGTCAACTGATCCCGCCACGTTACTCACCCTGTCTCTACCTGGATCCGATTCGTGCGAGAAGCAGTTGTTCAGTGCAAAGTTATTGAACGTGATGCAAGAGATGATACGAGTGGAAGTGAGGAGTTACATGTCTGGACTGGAACGAATGCAAACCCAAGCCATTCAAAACGCCCTTGTCGATAAATTGTTGAATGCGAATCGAATTGACAAATGTGAATTGCAGAATGGAAAATGATATTCATACTCATTAAGTGAAATCCAAAACAAATAGTCTACCTGTTCTTATTTTTTTCTGTATTAATTTTTTTTTTCTATGATTAAGAGAAAAAAATGTTCATAAGTTTTGGGCTGTACAGATGAACATGAGGATGACGGAAATTAAATTCTGAGAGTTATAATATTTCCATAACAAATTCTGACTTTTTTTTTATTTATTTAATTTTATTGTTACCTCTTTTTATTTATAAGATGCAAATTCTAATCTATAACTTAGAACAATTGAGTGTTTCATTTAATTCATGTTAATTTTTTTTATTACTGAATATTTAGATTAAAATATTTTTTACTGAAATGTTATAATATTTTTGGACTAAATTCTGATAGTTATAATATAATATTTCAATAACAAATTCTGACTTCTCTTCTTATTATTTTTTTATTGTTACTTCTTTTTATATATTTTTTTAATTTAATAATATATTAATTATAATTCTTTAAAAAAAAGATATTTTAAATGATTAAAAATACATTAATTATAATTCTTAAAAAAATGGATATTCTAAGTGATTAAAAGATATGACTATTGATTAGAAATATGATTCTTTAATTGATAAAATTTATTAATTATAAATTCTTTAAATCTAATTCGCGTATTAATTAAAAAGGAGAATTTAAAAAAAATATATTTTAATTGATTAGAAAATATTTATCAAATTATAAACTGTTTAAAAATGATATTTCAATATGTATTAATAAGAAAAAAGAATTTAAAAATATATCTAAAATATAAGTATTAATTTAAAAAAAAATTAAAAATATATTTTAGTTGATTATAAAATATTTATCAATTATAAACTCTTTATAATTGATTAAAAGATATAAATATTAATAAAAAAGTTTAAAAATATATTTTAATTAATTAAAAAATATGAATATTAATTAAAAAATAAGAATAGTATAAGAATTTATTATTATTTTTTTTTAAGTTAGAGTATGTATACCGGTGTATTGGCAATTTTAAAATAGTTGGAAACATTAATACATTTGGAAAAAGAAAATCTAATCGATGTTTTTATTATGTTAATGTACTACTTAATTTTTAAAATAATAAATGTTATTTCTCTCTTCACTCTCATTTTCCAAGTGTCATCCATGTGTACTTATTATTGTTGAAAATTTGTTGCAACACCATGGTCGAGCCATGTTTAAAACTTTTCCTATTGACTTTGTAATTTTCTTTTCATTTTGAAAAAAAAATAATGCATAAAAATAAACCAATATAATTATAAAAAAAAAGTTGAAACAATTTCATATAAGAGAAGTGAGAGTGTGCTGAAACCAATGACGAATCTAGTGGTGAAAAGTAGAGATAACTACTATTTAAAACATACATATTTTTTTATTTAAAAAATAATATATTTTAAAAAATAAAAATTATATTTTAATAAAATAAATATATATGTTTAAATTATCATATGTATAAATATCTTTAATAATGAATAATTTTTGTTAAAATTTTTAATTATAATATATATATATATATA